AATTTGGAAGAAGTTTTCAAGCGACTAGCGAACTCTGGCTTGAAACTTAGCCCTAAGAAATGTCATCTGTGTCAAGAAAAGGTACACTACTTGGGCCATGTAGTCTCCTCCCAGAGAGTTGCGGTAGATCCACAGAAGACCAAGACAGTGGAAGAGTGGCCGATACCCAAAGACAAACATGAATTACGAAGCTTTTTGGGACTATACACATACTATCGCCGCTATGTACAGGGTTTCGCTACCATCGCAAAACCATTGACCAGACTTACCGAAGGCGAGAGGCGTTTCTCGTGGGACTCAGATTCTGACGAGGCATTCCGAAAATTGAAGAAGGCCCTGACTAGTCCGCCCATACTTAGCTACCCTATTGGCCCTACCCTAACGGAAACTTTATATTGGATACCGACGCTAGCAATGTTGCGTTAGGCGCTGTTCTGTCTCAGATCCAGGATGGTCAAGAAAAAGTCATTGGCTATTTTAGTAAGACCTTGTCAAAACCGGAAAGGAACTACTGTGTAACCAGACGAGAATTACTAGCAGTAGTTAAAGCAATGGAACACTTCTTCAAGTATCTCTATGGAAGAAAGTTCTTGTTAAGAACAGACCATACTGCGTTGAAATGGCTGTTGCAGTTTAAGAATCCTGAAGAGCAGGTAGCTAGATGGATTGAACGATTATAAAAATTTGACTACGACACAGAACATCGAGCTGGGGCAATCCATCGGAATGCCGACGCACTTTCCAGAAGACCTTGCGCTAAGGACTGTAAGCATTGTTCCCGAGCAGAAGAGAAAGAAGTGAAACTCCTAAGAACAACTGTGGTTAATGATAGTTGGCAACCCGAAGATCTTGCAAATGACCAAACCAGTGACCCAGAATTAGGTTTAGTAATTAACTGGAAAAACGCAGGCCAAAGACCAACGTGGGAAGAAGTTTGCAGATATTCGCCGAACGTAAAGTCGTACTGGGCCCAGTGGAATTCCTTGGTAATAGATAACCGACTACTTCGCCGTGTGATCGAGATTCCGGAGGGACAAGAAGAGAGAAGGCAGATCGTCATTCCAAAGAAGAGGGTCCCAGAAGTCTTGGAGGAAGTTCACAATGGAACCAGCGGTGGACATCTGGGTGTTACCAAGACACTTGGCAAGCTGCGTGAACGGTTCTACTGGGTGAACTGCAAAGAAGATGTGAGGGCCTGGTGTAAGAAATGTGACATTTGCGCAGCTATCAATGGGCCACAAAAGCGTGTTAAAGCCCCTATGCGTCAGTACAATGTTGGCAGTCCCTTCGAACGAATAGCGATCGACGTGGCTGGTCCTTTCCGGGAGACGAACGATGGCAACAAATACATTGTGGTAGTAATGGATTACTTCAGCAAATGGGTTGAGGCCTACGCGTTACCAAATCAAGAAGCGTCCACCGTTGCTGATGCCCTTGTTAAAGAATGGATCTGCAGGTTTGGTGTTCCCATGGAGCTTCATTCAGATCAGGGAAGAAACTTTGAGTCCAATCTGTTCCAAGGCGTCTGTGAAGTTCTGAACATCCGCAAGACCAGGACGACTGCTCTACATCCACAATCCGATGGGATGGTTGAACGCATGAACAGAACTATCAACCGTTATCTGGCCAAAGTAGTCTCTGACCACCAAAGAGACTGTTCATCCGTCCAAGAATCTACAGGGCAAACTCCAGCCAGTATCGTTATGGGACGGGAAGTGAGCCTACCTTGTGATCTGAAATTTGGTTGCCGACCGGGAGAAGAAGTCGCCGGAGAAGATTATGTCCACACACTACGTCAAAGAATGGACGACATCCATCAGCGAGTCCGCCTAAATATTCAAAGTACTAGTGACCGAATGAAGGAACACTACGACATTCAAGCTGAGCATGGAGGATACCAAGCAGGGAAGTTGGTGTGGCTATATAACCCGCAGAGACGTCGTGGGTTATCTCCGAAGCTACAATCCTCGTGGGAAGGGCCATACGAAGTCATGGATAGGATTAATGACGTCGTATACCGTATCAGAAAATTGCCAAAAGGAAAACCGAGGGTAGTCCATTTCAACCGTTTGAGCCCCTACCAAGACGAAATAGAAGATCGTGCTGGGACCGTGAGAACCTGCAGCTTTGATCCCCCTGATTTGGAGATGTCCTTTGACGATTTCATGGCCCGATACAATAGCAGTGAGAAGGCTCGTTATGGTGTAACCTAAGAAGATCAACGAGACCTCTTTTCCGTGCCTCCTGATTATTCGCTCGCTCATTGTGTGGCCCGAGATTTGCGGATGTCCAGAGGAATCGCTGCGACGTTCAATGAGAAGTTTGGGCGTGTCGGAGAACTACACCGACAGGATCCAGAGGTTGGGAGCGTCTTGAGGCTAACCGACAATGAACATGGTCAAACCAGGCACATTTTCTACCTAGTCACCAAGGAATGGTCCCCAAGTAAGCCGACTTATCTCAATCTATGGAAGACCCTGATTGAACTGAGAGAAGCCCTGCTAAACAACAACATTCCACGATTAGCCATTCCGAAGCTGGCGTGTGGACTCGATGGTTTGAGTTGGCGTACAATCCGGAACATGATTGAAGTCTTGTTCAGATTTACGGGAATCGAGATCCTCGTTTGCTGCTACAACCCAAAGCTGAGATCGGGAGAGAAAACTGTAGACTGCTATTTCTATCAGACTTCTCAATGTACCAGGGGACAGCTTTGCAAATACCTTCATTCACCGTGTACATCTCGGGACGAGCATGTACCTAAGAAGGGGGCAGTGTTGCGGACCGGTGTGGACTCGACCTAACCTAACAATATGGCCCGCCCTCGGATGACCTTAACATCGCATAGACACCGCAATGCTTCATTCGAAGATTCGAGAAGGATCGAGTCCCACTGGAATGGAGTAGTACATACGAGAAATTCGAAAACCTTCTCTATGCACCTAACGATCTATGGACTATTGTAGTAAACTTTAACTGTAGGTATAAAAGCCGGCGGCTGTGGCCTAGAGAGGGCAGAGATAAATAACCGATCGACGCGTACAGTTACACAATCGCCACCCTAATTCAAAATAAATTTCTGTTAGATAAATAATTAGATAATAAATAGTTATAAATAGTTCTTTAAGTCTTTTAATCGTTATTGTTTTTGTTAATTAGTGTTAAATAAATTGTGTTTAAATAAATTGTGACTTTCTATCCACACGGAACCGACGAAAAACGTAACAATATCTTAATTATTAGATATTAATAGATCTGGTATTATGGTATTCTGGTATATTGTCGATTTTTAGAATAAACTAGTCATTTCTATCTTATTTTGTCAGAATGTTCGTAATCAAGAGGGCTACTGTAACCTTGTTATAAAAATAAGGTAATTAAGGGCTTATTTTTTATAATTTTGCTAATATCTTCGATTTGAAAGAAGATGTCAAGATACGGTTTTCGCTAGCTTTTATTACTTTTATACTCTTATCTTACTATCAGCTAAAATTACAAATACTATCGTATTTAATTTTGTTGAAAACACGGGCAATGTTTGTTAAATTGTAAGACAGCGCCCCCTAGCGACTACATTCAAAAGCCTATTATTATTGTTTATACGGCGGTATAATATAGAGTAAGAAACTCTCATTTAAACGAGCCCTCGTTTGTTGGATTCCGTTCATCCACTCCGGAGATATTAATATTTAAATAAAAACAGATCTAACCTTCCCCCACCACTTTATTTTGGCAGATAGGGAAAAATGGTTGTAATAAGAAATATTCAAAATTTACTGAATATTATGAAGCTATTGTTTATAGTACCCGTTATTTAGGCAAAATTGTGTAAAAACTTTTCTAATTTTTTATAGAAGTTGCGCCCTCTAGCGGCCGTTCTACAAACTTGAAAATAATTTCCAGCAATTTCTCATGGCCTCTTTAGTTATAACTATTTTTTTTTCCGCAGAGGCCTTACGGCTAATATATACTTTCCGAGATACACCCGAGAGTTATTCTTAGTGGGACACTCTGTACAGATTTGCATTCAGCATAAAATTCTGCACATACTACGTTATTTTTATTTCCAGCATTAATCAATGAAACTTTGGTTAAAAACACTATAATTCAAAAAGTGATAAAACTAGAGTAAATTTAACTTTATTAATACTTCACTATATTTTCCTAAACACCAAAGATTTCAGAATATACCCGCGAAGTAAAAACTGACATTGTCTTATACAGGGTAATTTTTATAATGTCGCCAACATCGCAATATTTAAAATGCTATATCTCATTTTTTTAAATGCAGCGCTTTGTATATTATTTTTCTTTTAGATGCAGTATTAAAAAGTGAACATTTTTAGGTATTTATAGTGTTCCTAAATTTTCAACCGTTTCGCAGATATTCCAAGAGTATTTTTTTCTCTTCCAACAGTAAATTTTTATCAGCTACGTAATATGATCTTTGTATGGTATTTTACCGTTGAAACCCCCATAATATGTAATATAATACAGCAAATATCTGCAAAACCGCTAAAAATTTGAAATTTAAAAAAAACACTTAACTACCAAAATGTTTATTTTTGCTTCGGCCTCTAAACGTAAAATGATATACAGGGTATTGCATTTAAAAAAATAGAGGTACCTATTACATTTTAAATTTTCCGATTTGGGTGACGCCATAAAAAATACCCTTTATAGGATAATGTAAATTTAGAATAGAATACCGCATAATGCTTCAAGTAAAAATAGTGTACTATTATGCTGAATCCAATTATCTACAAAAATGGGGGGGGGGGAGGGGGGTGCAATTTAAAAAAAATTAAAACTTTATCATGACTTTTTTGTGGCACCCTGTATGCAACAAAATATTTTTCGATATGCACCATTATATACCATGCAACATCTGTAATTTTTTTATATCTTCGACAAGAACGACTATATTGGACTTCCACTCACTAATGGAGCACCCTGTATATTTTACAATATAACACGATATAACGCATTACTGTTTACAGGAAGATAATAAATTGTGTCAACAAACGGAGAAGGAACTCGATGAAATGTTTATTACAACGAAAACGAACCTCGAAGATGACAATACTAAGTTCTTTGAGTATGCTAAGGAAGTTATGGAGATGGCACAGAAGAAAAATAGAAGTATTGTACCAATTAACAGAGTTATTGAAGTAAGTACATTTAGTTACATGATTCAAGAAGTTATAATTAATTCTATTTTCTTTAGGAATATATGAAAGCAATGAGCATTACAGTGAATCCCTTAGATGAAAGTAACCAAAAGCAATCTGGTGACTTGTCTAATAATACAAAGTTAAAAAATACAAAGAAAATTACTAAAACAGCGAAAAAAAAGATATGCGGCTGTTCGAGTAAATAATATTGTCTCAATCAATACATAAAACATAAATATATGATTTAGTCTAAACTGTACAAAATTGAATGCCTTTATTAAATTTATTATTCATTTGTACTAAAACAGCTATATTTTCAAAATGTAATATGTTTCACATAAAACACATACACAAGAAGAAGAGCGAGCGCCTTGCTAAATATTGGAAAGTGAAATTGACGTTTAAATTTGACACTGTTGACAAGTCTACTGCTACTAGCGCCCCCAATTTCGCTTGTAGGAACTACGGACTAAATTGTCACGCATGGCGGGAAGTTTAAAAAAATAAAAAAATTTATTTCTTCATTTATTTTTAATTATGACATACACAAAAACACAAAAAATACACCATTTTTAAAAAATATGTTTAATATCAATATCAAATATACAACAGAAATTAATTTCACCACAATAAATTAATAAAATTAAAAGAATAATGTTACAAGTAGATCAAGAGACAAAATTAATTATAACAAAACTGAAAAAAATGGCGTCATAGATGGCTTAGAAATAAAAGATATATCATAATTTTGAAAGTAAAATTATATGGGAAATGTCTTTGATCATCATTTTTAAGTCAACTGGACGATTATTTCAAACATACAAGCTGAGTTCGTTCATAGTGCTCTGAGAAATCTAGATAAACAAAGAATAATAAATTAAAAGTATTCCAGGGGAAAAGAGAGGAAAAACCTGTATCATCTCTGATATCTGTCAGGGTATTGTTGAAAGTGTCATATTTTTGCTCGAAGTTTTTAGATTGATCAAAAAGATGACATTTACAACAATACTTTGCTGTAACTTTCACAAATATCGGAGAGAGTACATACAGATATTGCCTCTCTTTTCCTCTGGGATGCTTTATATCTGTTGTTCTTTGTTTATCTATATTTCTCAGAGCATAATGCCGAACACGACTACAGTATATAATAATTTCAATATCCGAAGTGGAAAGAAAAAATATCACCTTTCTGTTTTATACTATGGTCCCTTTCTTCCGATGGCTCATCTCGTTGATATTTAGGAAGGATAAATAGGAAGGAAAATATAAAATTCAATTTGATTTGATGATCCTTTTCTGTCACCTAAAATCAGGAGAACGACAATGAGCATATTAAGATGAAAAAAAAAATTATCAACACTTACTTACACGTTAGTCCGAGGAGTTTTATTAAAAACCTATATTTGCCTAAATAATTTATGTATTAAATTTGCAAAGCAAGATGCAGCGTGTAAACAAAAGAAATAAAATGGCGACAAGTCAACGTTAACGACCCGACAAGGAGAAAAGTGGTGTTCGAATAACAAATTATGGGTCACCAAAAATTGTTTTTGTCTCCTTTCAACGCACACTTTAGAAAGAAAAAGAGATGAACTGGAATACTGAAAGAATGTCAAGGTTTTATCTGTCACTCTTGTCAATAATTTATCGGTAAGGAAGATTCCTAGAAAATCGCTTGTAGTCAAGTTTTCAACCATTGCCAGTTCTCCCATAAGAAGTGTCATCCACCTGATGTTTCACATTTTATTTTGTTTACGAAAAGAAAATGTTTGACGTAAGACGTATTAGGGTGCATCCACACTACCCTAGAAACGGCGTATCAGCGTAACGGCATAACGACCTTGAATGGATTTCCAGTAATTCTATTGGCTGAAATTTTTGATAGATGAATTTGACAGATAAAATTTCTGACAGATGAATTTTTCAGCCAATAGAATTGCTGGAAATCGATTCAAGGTAGTTACGCTGTTACGCCGATACGCTGTTTCTAGGATAGTGTGACGGATAGAGGCCATTGATGCGGGTTATGCGTCGCATGTCGCATCCATTCAAAATATTGTAATACGTTTTTATTTAAAAAAGTCACTGAGATCTCCTATAATAAAATAAAATTCTCAGTAAATGTATTCAAATAATTAAATTTAATTTCAAGACCTAAACGCTAAAAATAAATGTCGACAGAGCAATGATGCGACGGTCCTCGTTAGTGTGCGAACACAGTGCAAGCAGGTTTGCCGCTTACTGGTAGTCAGCGCCAATCTGGGCACCTATTCTTGACATCGTTCGCAACTTTGCGTATACGCATTACGTGTATTGTTATAAACAGGGTATCCCAGAAATAAGTGCAAATATTTTAAAGGGTGGTAGATCTCGATAAAAGAAACATATTTTCTCTTTATCGTTTTTCAAATAAGTCCAAAATAATGGACTTATTTTACTTTGAAAATTTCCCAAAAAAAAATATTTTTTGCTAAAATTTTGAGAACCTTCTTCTTCATGTGCCTTCTCCTCATCGGAGGTTGGCGACCATCAATTGGAATTCCTCCCTGTCTTGAGCCAAACGGATAATTGCACTGGCCTCTCCTATATTAAACCACTGGCGCAAATTCCGCAACCAGGAAAACCGTTTACGCCCGATGCCTCGTCGTCCTTCAATCTTTCCCTCAACGATCAGCTGTAGGAAACTATATTTGTTATTTCGAAAATATGACCAAAATATGCTGCTTTCCGTCGTTTTATTGTAGTCAATAGTTCTTGGTCCTTACACATTCTTTCCAATACTTCGAGATTTGTTTGAGAACCACTGGATCTTTTCTGGATTTTCTTTCTTGTAAATTTAATCTACTACCTATGTTGCCATATTATCAAGAAATTATTTTTTTAAATAAAGACTAAAAAAAATTGCAAAAAAATTCCAAAAATATTCTCAAAAAATTCCGAATTTTTAAACAAAAATTATTTAGAAAAAAATCTCATAGGCGTGTTTCTGGGGTTGAACTATACTACCAGTTAAGTTAAAATACTTGCACGTATTTCTGGGACACCCTGTATATGGTTACATAGTAGCGCCGCGCCGCGCCGCCTCGCGCTTATAACCTTGAAAAATTAAAGCGTGTTATCAAATCGGCTAGTTCACAGTGAAAGCAGGTAGGAGCCGTCAACCAGCGTTCATCGGCGTTCTCGCTTTTACCGGAACGAAAATTTATTTATTTCTGCTTTTACAGGCGCCGACGGCGCACAGAGGGTATTAAGAACTAAAAGTTGGCCAAAATTATGTTTTATGATTTTTTGCTTTTTGCTAGTAATATTAATTATTAGAGGAGGGGTGCTAATATGGAACCCCATTTTGTTTTTCCTACACAACATTTTTTCCTCTACTCTGAAACCCTTTCCACCGATCAAATAGGGCCATTCTGTGCAAAACCAAGCAATTGGATGAGGATGCTAGAACAAGAAAGTAATTTGTATATTATAGACGATATTTGAGCGAGGATGGGTGTTATAGGGTAAAGACTATTTCGTTTAAGAATCTATTTAAATCAATGTTTTTTTTAGCAGTGGCAAATATTGGCAAGATTTTTGTACATATTCCAAAGCTGGAGACTTTAAGCACTGAACGGATACTAATTTCCATGCGGAATATTGCCGAATAGTCTTACACCTTATAAAAATGCCTCTGATTTTTTAAATATGAAACATTATAAAGAAATAGAATAGAAGGAAACGTTTCAAAATAAAAATATGGCATAAAACAGGACTTTCCAGCTGGCTCTGTATCCATCATGACAGTTATTGTAAACAATTTGCAAAAAAAGCACTACAAACAATTCCACTATTTTATAATCTTAGAAATTTTCAGAATACACTCAAGATAATTCATACTTACAACTGAAATATATTATTTATTTGATAGTCAACTGTCTTACACCTTATAAAAGTCTTACACTTATAAAAATGCCTCTGATTTTTTAAATATAAAACATTATAAAGAAATAAAATAGAAGGAAACGTTTCAAAATAAAAATATGCATAAAACAGGACTTGCCAGCTGGCTCTGTATCCATCATGACAGTTATTATAAACAATTTGCAAAAAAAGCACTACAAACAATTCCACTATTTTATAATCTTAGAAATTTTCAGAATACACTCAAGATAATTCATACTTATAATTGAAATATATTATTTATTTGATAGTCAACTTACGACATAAAAAAAGCTAATAAACGTGCTTACATTTAGTATTTATAGATTTGTATTCAGTTAAGATAAAAAATGAAAATAAAAATATTTCACTTTTGGCCAGGTTTATAGACCAAATACCCCTATGTGCGGGGCCGGCGCGGCGGAGCGGCGTTTGATATGGTTAGGTTAGGTTAGGTTAGTTAATCAGGTAAATTTCCTCTTAATTAACTACTTCCGAACCCTGCTCGCATCTCCGAAAAAGCCATATAACAATACACGGCATATACGCAAAGTTACGCATCACGTGTATTGTTATATGGCTTTTTCGGAGATGCGAGATGTGAGCGATATGTGGTCAAGAATAGGTCTCCAGAGACGGCGCTGGTTGCCGGAAAGCAGAAACCTGCCTCCACTGTGTTCGTACCCTAATTACGTCTTGAACGCCGCCGAACTCGAGCCGAGGTCAGCGAACTTTTCTGCCGTGATCACCCCCGTCTCCCGTTCGCTGTTTAGTTGATTGCATAATACAATTTTTATTCTTAATCTAAGGATATAACATGTTTGGCGGGAAGGGACACCCTGTATTTGATTTTTTAGAAATAAACAATGCATAAAAATATATGTACCTGCCATAGATTTAGGAAGAACAAATATCACATTTTACATTTTAACCCGATCAAACAATCGGAGGTTGACTACGTACTGTAAAAACCAACTGAGATAGAGAAGGCGACATTGCCACATCTCAAATTTGCGCCTATCTACTTAGTTTGATTTGCAGAAAAGGTGACTTTAAAACCTTCACCGGATATCAATAAATCTCAATTTTGTAATTAAATTAATTGTTTATTTTTAAAGAAGCATGCGTAATAATATGTTATTAACCAGAGGATATATGCGTTACTATTAAAAGACATGTTTACTGTTTAATGTGCTGAAACGTCTAGAACTATTGGCAACGTCGCTGCTAATCTTCCAGAATGAAATGAGCCGTCCGTCCCACCACCCCTCGCGACGGCCCTTGGTCCGTTATAGCGTACTACGTTTAGCTTACGGTATGTTTGAAGTCGGAATCAAGTTCGAAGTGAACTTTTCAGTGTTTTTCAGT